TCGTACCAGTTTACCGTTCCATAAGCGAACATCCGCAGGACAGGGTGAAATTGAAGCTTGAAATATAGTATGTAATTAAATTCTCAAAGATAGCCTTGAATTAGAGACAGGCCCTAAATCCGAACAATTTAGTAATTTCAATCGAAGGAAATGTAAAATATTATCAAATAGTATGCTACAAGGTTACCCCACGACCACGCAGACGTAGAACAACAAAAAATATGCTACAATTATCCCACGATCACGCAGACGTAGAACAAAAAATAGTATGTTACTAGATTATCCTACGATCACGTAGAAGTAGAACAAGTTGAGGCAGCATGAATAATTAAGCAGACATAAATTGTGAGGAAAAAATGAATAACACAGAAAAATAAAACTTTCGGAAAACGATAAATATTTTTAACAAAAAACTGATAGGTGTATTTTGAGAAATGTACACAATTTATACTCATTTTAAAATGTATTCGCTGTCTGGAAATTAATTAATTAGTTTTACCTAAACACTTATCCTACATAACTAACAATTCATTCTTATTTCAATTAAAAAAAAAACTATTTACGTGTGTTTCCTCGTAAAAGTAACAAGTCTTTAATATGTTATCATAGCCTTTCAACTGTTTCGTGCCTAATAAAAAAAGTTTATATTTTCCAGACCTAATATAATTGTTTTTTATACTACAGATAAAAATGGCTACATTTATAGTTATACAAATGTCAACACAAAAATTAAACGCATTTTCCACCCCTAAACGAAACCTTTTAAAATTTTGAAGAAAAATGACGTGTCATGAAATCGACATTGTACGAAACATCGCTGTGTTACTTTATTTGACAGATAAAAACAACCGGATGTGTTCTAGCTGCAGTATAGTGGTGTTGTCTGTCCTTCTTAGACGATTGATTCACCTGTTGGTGCCTTTTTTTATTTTTATTAGTATGCTCGTTTATGTGAAGAGCTTTGTATAACAAACAACATTTTTTTTGTGATTAATGAAACTGTTAAATACTTATCGGGTGCCGGAGCAAATATATGAACTTCACATATTCTGCATGCCATGTGGAATTTGGGTGTAACAATTTTGACAAATCCGCATAACACCATTTTTTTCCGGTCCTGCCATTCCGTATTTTGACCATCGAATATATATGTATTTCTTCCGTAAACAATTTTTTATAATATATCGACATTAATAAGGTAGAAATAAAATTGGAGCTATTTCAGAAATAGAGATCAAGTAAATTTTTAGACTCAACATGCAAATCTTTAGTAATAAAGAAGGGAGTATGAACAAAAAAGCTAAAATGAAATATATTCGTCAAACGGATTTGCAGTGGTTTTGTCTTGAAAATGGCCGAAACTGTTTAGAATGGGTCTATTTGAAAACACCTTGGTACCTTCTATCTTTTGATATCACATTAATATAAAGATATTTGCTATTGTAAATGGTAAGTCTAGAAACCGAACAACGACTAGCGACCACAGAAAGAACAACGTTGTAGAAGATGCTCGGTGAACAAAAAACAATTGCAAAGTCTCTAATGATAATAGTTATCTTGTATTGCATATAAGTAAGGAGGAGCAGCCAATGTATATTCTGTTTCCTCCTGAAAGTGGCCGTTACAGTTTTAAATACATATTTGTATCATCTATCGTTTTCATATCACTGACAAGAATATACGATCCTCAAATGTTCATTCTTATTTCTAATATTTAGATACTTCTAAAGTTTATTACGTCCCCCCCCCCTTTTCCAACAAAAAAAAATACTATGTATATACATATTTATCAATATTTAAACAACAAAAATTGACCCAAAACGTTTCTGTCAAACAAAGGCGTGAAATTTCATATTTCTATCTCAAAAACAAGCAAAGAGAATCGTTCTACAGTATTTTCCCAAAAACTAACTGTATCAATTTTATGTGAATTTAAGGATCGAACATTTTCAACATGTTTTTTTTTTTTGTTTTTTTTTTTGTATTCAAATTAATTTTATGATTGATTGATTGATTCGATGGTATTAGGCCTATGTCAGTACAAATATATATGCAAGATTTAACACCAAAAACGGAATTCTTTAATTCAAACCGAGTCAATCGGTGGTGGGTGACATTTCTACTAGACACTTAAGGACAAACGACATAAGTAGATATAAGAAGATGTGGTATGAGTGCCAATGAGACAACTCTCCATCCAAGTCGATATTTATAAAAGTAAACCAATTTAGGTCAAAGTACGGTCTTCAACACGGAGCCCTGGCTCACATCGAACAGCAAGCTATCTTTAAGGTAGCACAATACAAAGATTTTATACCTCCAACTCCCCAGTTTTAAAATGCTGTAACTTTCTTTATAATGCTTGAAAATTTATAAAAGTGGTATTTTTGGATAGCTAACGGATTACTCTTTCAAATTAATGCAATGTTAGTATTATACAACAATTATGTAGTTAATTATAATTTTAACTGTGTCTACAAAATTTTACAAGAAATTTCAACTTTCAATTGAAATTAGCTTCTTCAGGGATACCCCGAGAGGGTTGATTTTGTAATATGTTGTTCCTAGAGCCATTATCTACAAAAGGGTGTCTCAGATTTTGGATAGAATGTATAGATCAAATTTTACACCTAATCAAATAATCTCTACTTTTATGTGGTAAGGATGTTTACACTAATTACAGATGTATGAGAGAATGGAATACGATAGCGATAATTTGAGACACCCTTTTGTAGCTCCTGCTGTGTTGATTAAGATAACGTTAAAATTTCTTGTGTAGTTATAGAGATGTCAGAGCTAAATTCATTCAAGTGAACTGACCAAGATTTTGCCATTAATTGCATAATAATTGATTATTATTGAGCATTCATTTAAAAGATTAATCTTTTATCTATCTATATATACCTCTTTTATTAATTTGTATGCAATCATAAGAAAGTAACATCATTTTAAAGGTTGGAGATTGGAAGTAAACAAATCTTTGTATTGCGCTACCTTAAATATAGTTGACCTCAATACTTCTCCTACATAACTAACAATTTATCCTTATTTAAATTAAAATAAAAAACTATTTACGTCTGTTTTCTCGTAAAAGTAACAAGTCTTTAATATGTAATCGGAGCCTTCAACTGTTCTTTCCTAACAAAAAAAAAATTTCAGACTTAATATTATTTTTGTATTACAGCTAAAAATTACTATATTTATAGTTATACAATGTCAACACAAAAATGAAACGCATTGTCCATCCCTTAACAACACCTTTTAAAATTGTGAAGAAAAAATTAATGACGTGTCATGAACTCGATATAGCTCGAAATATAACTGTGTTATTCAGGCACTTGTATCTGAAAAAAACCCTATATACTTAAATATAACACATGGTACCTAACTCACTTAATTGAGAAATGTCGCCCGGTCGCTAACTTCCGTTATATTTCGTATCTGCGTTTGTCTATCCCACTGAAATTTGTTATTTTGTAAATCTACATTAAATTATCTACAAAATGGTGTATAACACGCCTATTTCTATAGTCGGAATCATTCGTAACAGGCCTTCGAAGTATGGCAACCGTAGTTATTACGTAATATAATTATTATAAGTAAAATATTTGCTTCTTAGTATTTTGAATGGTAAGGATAGAAACCGAAGAGCGACTAACAAGCAAAGAAGATGCTCGGTTGACAAAACCAATGTTGCACAGGATCTACCAATAATACTTATATTGCATATAATATACGTCAGTAGGGGCAGCAAATGTTTATTCTGTCTCCTATTGAAAGTGTCCGTTTCAGTTTTGAATACAGTCACATTTGTATCATCTATCTTTTTCATATCACTGACGAGGATGTACAATATAAAAATAAGGAGATGTGGTTTGATTTCCAATGGATCCACCATGGATGTAAGCAATTATAGGCAACCGTACGGCCTTTAACAATGAGAAAAATCCATACCGTATAGTCGACTATAAACGGCCCCGACAACAATTTACAATTCAGTTGAGAAAACGAACGACCTCACAATGCTCACATTTTCATCTTATTTCTAATATTTTGTAACTCCTATGGCTTATTACGAAGTCATGCATTTAAACCCGACCCCTGCCCCCCCCCCCCCCCCCCCCCCCCCCACCCTCCCCTCCCAAAAAAAACACTATATATATATATACATATTTATCAATATTTTAACAAAACAAAACTATGTCTTGACTTCTGACAAACAAACAAATAAGTTCGCGTGTTTCTATCTCAAAAACAAGCATAGCGTGCATATAGAACATCTTTATTTTCCCAATAACTTAATGTAATAAGCATAATCCAGTAAAAAAACTTCATTTATGAATTATTTCATTTGGAATTTCGGGATCGAACATTTCAACATGTTTTGTTTTGTTTTTAATTCAAATTGGGATTGACTGATACGACAGTATTGCGTCAATTTCAGTTTAATTATAATTGCTTGCAAGAATTACACAAAATAAAATGGAATTCTTTATAATTCAACCCGAGTCATTTGGTGGGGGGACATTCCTACTAGAAACCTATGGATAATCGACATGAGTTTTACTTTCCTTAAGTATAGGACTTATCAGATACACATATACTTTGTTTTGTAAGACTAGGATTTCTCTCCGGCTTCCTCAATTCCATCATTTTGTAATTTTGTAATGGGCGATGTAACATAGTCGTTTAACTGTTAAACGGGAGATAATCCAAAACGGGAACTACGTACAAATGCATTATGATTCAGATGCTTAAGTAGTTTTGCCGCTTCTCTGTAAGTTTCTACAATGTCATGGACTTCTACTTGTAGCATTCTATGTAGAAAGTATCATTTCAAAACATCACGCTGTTTTATTTGATCAACTTGTATTTCGCCTCTCTGATTTAATTTTTTAAAGAGCAAATTCAATGTCAGTTTCCAAAACGTATTGCACCGGAACTAATTCCTTGTACTTAGACAATTGAAGATGTTAAAATCTCATCATTTTACATTTCAGTTTCTTGAAAACTTGAAAAACGCACCATCCTTAGACATCCTGCAAACTAAGAAACCTATCTCAACAGTAATGATAGATACTAATACAAGCACTTTGGTGCTACAAAATGGTACAACCGGTACATCAATAGAAAATACTTTGTCAGCAGAAAATGAAAACGATGCAGACGATTTGGAAATAGGTCTTAGCACAAATACAAACGAACAGATCGATGACAGCAGGGATATGAATATCTCCGAAAAACAACCGAACGGCGCCACCAATAATGTATCTTCCTCCGGTAATAATGAGTATAACACAACTTATACAGAGACAGACAAACAATCAGATACAAATGAAACTGAGGAAGTCACTCATGGACATGACGAATCAGTGATAAACAATATCGTTACTACCAGTGATGTAAATGATATTATAGATGATATTGATATTGTTGTATCAGAAGCTGAAGAAACAAAAAGAGAATGAAGCGAGGATAATGTCGGTAGTGGTGACAATGAGAACAAATTATAGAGAATACATATGGTTCAGACAACTAAGTAGGATAGTTCAGAAAACTGAGTAGGATGCGCTAGCTTTAATAAAGAAAAATTAAACAACATTTGTTAGCTATAAACAGTAAAAGAAATTTTATGATATTTATCCTGCTTCTTATGACTTGAAAAGTCCGATGTAATGGGAATACATAACTGATGTATTCATAAACAACTATAAATTCAAAATATACATGTTTTATTTTGTAAATGTGACCCCCAACTTGTAACACTTTCGCAATAGTTAATAAATAAATAAATAAAGTATTGTTAGTTTGTAAGTCTACAGTTTACAAACTTTAACAGTATTTTGTGGGTATTACGGGATGTGTGTGTCACTTCGTGATAAATTATCCACTTTCAAGATTTTGTTTTAAATAAGAGTTTTAGAAGAAGAGAGACATAAGATACCGAAGGGATATATAAATTCATAAGCCGATAACAAACTTACAATTCCATGGCAAAAAAAGCTGTTTCAACCAATAGACAAGCAACAGTACACAAAACATAACAGTTAACCAAAGACTGAGCAACACGAACCCAACAAAAAACACGGGGGTGATATGTGCTCCGAGCAGATCCTGCTCTACATGTGAAACCTGTCCCATAGCGTGATAAGAACTCGTTACCACGCTTACCAATTAAATTTCAATGTGCTTGCACAAAGCTGCTAGCAAATCAAAGGCCAGGTGTTCTATCATTTCTCTACTGTAGCTTTATTGTAATTGATTTCGTTTTTTGTCTTGCTATTTGCGATTTAATATTTAACATTCGATACATTTCTTATATCAATAAATGCTTATTGTTTAGAATCTTCGATGATCAAATTCCATCAGGTTTTGACAACTTTTGGATTTTGACCCTTCTGGGGAATGAAATTTAGGTTAAATTGACCCAGCCTCTAAACCTTACTCTAGCCTTTTACTATAACCAAAAAATACTAACTTACACATTACACAGTGTTTCGAAAAAAGAATATCACGTGTTATGGATACAGCAGGAATATACATAGTCAATAAAAACTTGAATTCCATACATAAGTAGCTATACTTATACTTAATGGTTTAATTCTGGGTTGGGTTATTTATTAATACTTGATAAATTGTAAGTGATAATAAAAGGTAAAGAAATATTTTCACTTCACATATCAAAGCGCTTGTCCCAAGTCAGAACCTACATACTTTTGATTGTTTGGATATTCCTGTGAACTATTGATACTAAATGTTTTGCTATTTATATTAATCTTTTTTTCGGGGACAAGTGTTTCCGATAAAAGAATTTTGCTTCGAGAGCTTACCATACTGAAGTAGGCCCTTCTCACTGCTTTTAAATCATTGCGGACTAAAGAAACTCGATTATACATGTACTATATTGATATAAGTGGTAGCGTCACGTGATCTAAACCGAAAAAGTAAAATAACAAAAATACCGAACTCCAAGGGAAATTCAAAACGGAAAGTCCTTTATAAAAGAGCAAAATCAAAAGCTCAAACACATCTAACGAATGGAAAACAACTGCCATATCCCGACTGGTACTGTTTTATATATATAATAATAACTCATCCAGTCATTTAGCTGTAGAAATACAGGCATTAACGGTATCGTCTGCTGATATCTTGTTTCTTTACTGAACGAGAGCGGTATAGGGTGGGTAAATAACAGTTCACTTTAATGTCCTCTGTGTTGTCCTGGTTCACGAGAAATATTTTGTTGAAATCAAAGGTAAAAACTATACGGAGAACTGATATAACACATGCATAAGGGTGTGTACAACAATTTTTATTCTTCAAATTTACACTAAATAGACATTTTCCGTTCCATAAGACCAATTTTCATTGCAATGTTGAAGTTTGACTAAAGAAAAGTTTAGTTTTTCTACCAAAAAATGTATAGACGTTTTCCGTATCTCACATTTCTATGTAAAAATGGAATTTTATACAATTCCATATATGAAACTCCTTTTAAGCCTTTCTGATTATTACGACAAAACTATTACACACCTTTAAATCAACGATTTCAAATTGTATTTCACTAGTTTCAATAACCTCTATATCGCGGTTCCTTTAAGAAAATATAAATTGCTAAGAAATGTTTACATTTGGCTTCCTATTATTACCATAGTTACTCGTAAAACAATTTGGTTAGTTCATATGCATATCTATTGTAAAGAAACAAACGTAGCTTGGTACGCAAGATGGAAAGAGTAAGAGAGCTAGCTATATTCAAGGTTATACATAAACCATAGTAACGTTTTTTAATTTAATAATTCTGTTATGTACATTATGAATTTGGAAATAAAAATCCATCATTCAGTGCAAGAATATGGACGAATTTATCCCGTTGATTTAGTACAAATGTTTTATGAAACCATCCATTAGTAATCAAGTTAAAATGTGGTAATATATCTTTTAGACTTTTCCAAAATGAAAAACAATGCTCATTTTTTTTTTAATTAACTTATATGAAACAAAATATTTGTTGTTTGCATGTGAACATCAACAGAACAGAAGAAGATTAAAAATAAACAAAGATACCAAGGAATAATCTATAAAGTGTTATTTTCATATAGTACGCAGGTTTATCTACATAAGACTTATCAGTGGAGCTCAAATAGAAAAAAACTCTAAAGGAAGTTAGTGAGTTAATATATCAAATAAAATCGCACGTCAGCATAAACATACATAACCTTTACCAATATCTAACTTATAATAAACAAACAAAGTGGTAGTTCATCATTGTTATATTTTTGTTTATCTTTGAGGAAAAAAAAAACGAGTATCAGTCTTCGTCGCTATTTATCTGCTTTAGCGAGAAAGAGGTTAACAGGAGTATTTGGTCTAGAACTTTCTGACCAACTAATGGATAGATGGCTCGATTCTCTGGTATACTGTTGTGGACAAATCGTTGCAGTTGGGGCTGTTCCTTTAGATTCACTCTTGTTAGCATTCAATGTCGATTCACTACTTTCGACAAGAATTGATGGACGTCCACTAAAAGAAATAAGGTATACTTTTTTATACAAAGTTTCCTCAATCCACGAAAAATTAGTACACACGAAAATAAATTACTCAGTTTTTAGAAAATAGTATAATTTTCGACACTAAATAATTTCGTTATAGTTTTAACGATTGTTCATTGTACTTATGATAATGTTGTTTGATTTTTCCTCTTCATTGTCAAAAACAATTGTAAAGTAGAACACTTTCTTTGTGTAATGTTAATATTTCGTTTATTGATTTTTGTTTGTTTGTGTGTCTATCAATGTATATGCTTATCAGCATCGGCTAATAAAACAAAATATATTTCTCAATTTTTAGCTCACCGGGCCCGAAGGGCCCCATGTGAGCTTATGCCATCACTTGGCGTCCGTCGTCGTCCGTCGTCTGTCGTCGTCGTCTGTCGTCGTCTGTCGTCGTAAACTATTTTAAAAATCTTCCCCTCTGAAACTACTGGGCCAAATACCTTCAAACTTTAACTAAATGTTCCTTAGGGTATCTAGTTTATAAATTGTATCCAAAGTTTTGATCCATTGACAAACATGGCCGCCATGGCTAAAAATAGAACATAGGGGTCAAATGCAGTTTTTGGATTATATCTCAAAAACTAAAGCTTTTAGAGCAAAACTGACAGGGATAAAATTGTTCAATTGGTCAAGATCTATCAGCTCTGCAATTTTCAGATGAATCGAACAACCCATTGTTGGGTTGCTGCCACCGAATTGGTAGTTTTAACAAAATTTTGCAGTTTTTTGTTATTATTTTGAATATTATTATAGATATATATAAACTGTAAGCAGCAATAATGTTCAGCAAAGAACGATCTACAAAAAAGTTAATATGACCATAATTGTAAATTGACTCCTTAAGGAGTTATTGCCCTTTAAAGACAATTTTACACAATTTGTTCATCAAGTTTGCTAACATTTAAAAATCTTCTCCTCTGAAACTACTGGGCCAATTTCCTTCAAACTTTAAATAAATGTACCTTAGGGTATTTTGTTTATAAATTGTATCCGAAGTTTGTATCCATCGACAAACATGGCCGCCATGGCTAAAAATAGAACATAAGGGTCAAATGCAGTTTTTGGCTTATATCTCAAAAACTAAATCTTTTAGAGCAAATGTGACATGGGGTAAAATTGTTTAATTGGTCAAGATCTTTCGGCCTTGAAATTATCAGACGAATCGAACAACCCATTGTTGGGTTGCTGCCACCGAATTGGTAGTTTTAACAAAATTTTGCAGTTTTTTGTTATTATTTTGAATATTATTATAGATATACATAAACTGTAATCAGCAATAATGTTCAGCAAAGTAAGATCTACAAAAAAGTTAATATGACCAAAATTGTCAATTGACCCCTTAAGGAGTTATTGCCATTTAAAGACAATTTTACACAATTTGTTCTTCAAGTTTGCTAACATTTAAAAATCTTCTCTGAAATACAGGTGAGCGATTCAGGCTCTTGAGAGCCTCTTGTCTTATATGTGACATTTGTTATAACAATACTTAGGCTTTCTGAATCCACATTTGTATATCACAACAGCTGCTACAATTATCAAAAGCAAGGCTCCTCCAATTGCTCCGTATATCCCTGGTGACACTCCGGACGTTTTCGACTCTAAAATAATTTTTAAAAAAACACTCAATTGAAATACATGCATTAGGTTGTTCTTTTGTTGACCCTACTCGGATTAAAAAAGTCAACATTGGTGCGCTATTGTCATGCGTTTACTACATTTTATTTATTTTTTAGGAATAATGGCAAGACGTATATTTACAATATAACTTTTGAAACACATTAAAACTTTTTTTGAGAATTGTTCGTAAAGGTTTCGATTTTTTCATAAATGTGAAGATTACTATGGATACTATAAACAAGTGCAATATAATGATGCTCAACCCGTCATTCCACTCCAGTTTCTAAAACAGAATTGATAAGGATAAAATACTATAATAAGTAACCTTCTGTATCCTGATTTTTTTTATCAACGGATGCAAGTTCGGGATATATAAGTATTAACAATGCTACCACTGTCCCTATAGCTTATCACAGCTTATCGATAGCATTTATTTCTTTGTTCTCATGTTGTACTGTGAAACCACTGTCCCGGGTTAGGAGTCACGTCATTTTTTATCATATGTCATATCGTAATCCTTTTTTTGTTGTTGTTTGGAATTGAATGATACTAGCAGATCTTTCATTGTTTCTGTTATATCATACTACATAGTTTATAAAACTTAAGAACAAATTGAAACTTTTGATATTGTATATACATACTATTTTTTGTCTTTTCTAAATGACAAGCTGTTGATTTATTAAGGAGGTACATAATACCGCAAGGAGATAGCTCTGTAAGAATCAGCTGAACGTTTTTATTACGCTTTATTGTTAAGGAAATATCAAGCTTCCAAATGATAAAAATTAGTGGTATATATCCAATGATTTTTTGCCAAAAAAGTGTGTGGTCAAAGTAAATATTTTGTAAAAATTTTATGAAAATTAAACGAGCCAAATTAATTTTAGGCTAGGTGTTTGGTACCATCTTAATCGTTTGGAATAATTCAATCAGAAAGTACATTCATTAACACCAAATGCTTAAAGTCTCTGCCTTATCTATTTAAATCACCTTAGATTCAGATTCAGATTCAATAATTTATTAAAGTCTCACCACTTAGATTAAGTGTATTGCTTGCAGTAGTTGAGACATAGTTGTCAAAAGTAGTTGATTGTTTTGTTACAGTTGATTCAGCGTTGAATGCTGTGGTTGAAGAGCTTATATCTTTTGAAGTAGTTGTTTCATCTTGTGAAGTCAATGTGGTTTTTGAAGCTTGTGTCGTTGTTTTACTATCACTTTTATCGGTTGCTGGATTTCCTGGAGTTGTTATCGCTATGTTGTTGGCATTTGTTGCGGTTACTGCATTTCCTGATGTTGTTGATGTTAATTTGCTGGCACTTGTCCTGTCCACTGCAGTGGTAGCTCTCTCAATACTAGTTGTTATTTCATGCGTTCTAGTTTTGTCAGTTATGGTCATAATTTGTGTTATTTCTTCTGTACTTGTTTCTGAAATCGACGAACCAACATGTGCTTTTAAATAGGAAGATGGAGTCATTTAATTCAAAACTTTTCTGGCTAAAATACGTGGACGGAATAGTATTAAAAAAATCATACTATTACATGTGTAACGCGATGCGCCTTTTAAAAGTATTTTAAAATAGAAGAGCAACACGGTGTATATCATAGGTGAACCAGGAACATATTATCCTTTCGAATATCGTAATATAAACCCCGTTCCTCGTTGGTGTTTATGCAGTCTTAACTTTAATTTTCTGTATAATATATTTTTCGTATTATCTAGATATAGGAAGATGTGGTATTAATCGTCTTCTTGTGTTTTTGCCATGGTGTTCTCCGATTCTACCTGACATGATTTTGTATAACTGATTTCCTCAATTTTTTTTATCTACATTAAATTCATATACCATTTCCTGGACGCATGAGCTTTATATAGTGCTGTTTTAAATTTTTCAAAGCACTGGGCCGATAAGTCTTATATAACTGTATCCGATCAGCTAAGAAATCGGTGCCCGGGTACTGATATGATTTATAACAAACACTTTTAAAATTTCCCGTTAAAGTTTCAAATCCCTCAGGTAAAGTTGACCCTAGTTGGATTTGGCTGTTTTTAGTTATTTTTTCAACTGTTTCAATTGTTTCGATTAAAATACATCCTTTGCTTTTACATGTTCGGCTTTGAGCGTTGCTGATGAAATTAAATCAAGAAAAGCGCTTCGGAGGCATGAACCTATAACGTGTTCGATACAACATGTTTTACTTCATGTGAATACAGCATATGATCACCATGAAAACCTAACACTTGACGTAATGTGTATAAGACAGTTAGAAGATGAAGATTACGCTGTTACACAGAAAAGACTTTAATATCAAATCAAGCCACAAACGTGTATGTTATAAACCTTAGTTTCTTGTTATAATTTTGAAATACCTGTGGTTGGTTCAATCATCTCTTTTGTCGTTGTTGTGGCATGATTGCTTATTTTAGATGCAGGATGTGTTGTCGAATCGTTCTCAGTGGTTGATGTTAATGAACTAGGTACATGACTAGCATCTGTTGTAGTTGTTCTCTCAATATTGGTACTCATGTCATAGGTTTTACCTTTATCATTCGTTGTTTTAATTTCTGTTGTTTCGACAGTACTTGTATCTGAAGTAATATTTCTTAATGTACTTACAAATAGTACCAAATTAATATATAAAATTGAATTTCAATCTAACAGTTATGTTATTGCATGATAAGCAGGAGTTTTTCTTAGAATACAACATAATGACAGGTAAAATATATCATGTTCTTCCATACATTTTCAATAGAAAAAGGAAATTGTCCATGGAATGTATTTTGAAAGGTTATTTTCCGATGTCAAATTTAAAGACGAAGTTCAACAGTAAAAATGTTAAGAACACCACTTTCACATTTTCTTTTTTGTTCGCCGGCAAACACGTTTAACCCCGCGTCATTCTGTATGTGCCATGTCCTAAGTAAGAAGCCGTAGTTTAGACGTTGTCGTTTGTTTATGTGTATATTTTCTTTTTCATTTCGGGCCCTTTTGTAACTTGCCTTGCGGTGTAGTTTTGTTCAGTGTTCACTGTTAACGATTAATGTATTTTTTAAATATAATACCATCATTTTTTTAAGTGCTTACCATATTCTGTTTCTGTTGTAAAACCCAAACATGAATCCTTAAAGGAAACAAATAAACAATCATTAAATATTTCTATAAAATAGAATACGAAGTATTGTCCGTCATTTTTTTTTTACCTGACAGACTAAATGATTTACCTTCGCCGTATCTATAAATGATTTGGTATTGAAATATTATACCATAGTGCAGGTAAATTTTGAAAAACGCTTTGGACTCACGCAATTTATCAAGTATTTTCATTCACCGGCTTTAGGTCGATAGTCCTAAGGGTATCATCTGCTAGGCAAAATTTTCAACAGATTTTTCTAAAAACTCCCGGTTATAAAATTGAGAAATTTAAAATCGCGTAGGTTTTTACTTCGTCAAGTAATGTATATCCTAGCTGAATTTGGCTATTCTTTTATGTTCCTTTTATTCAACAGTTTCTACCTCTTACTTTATTTGTTTTTAGACATTGCTAGCTTTAAAATATTTGTGGTTGAGCGTTCCCGTTGAAGATACAAAAAGAAAAGCTATTTAAAATTAATTTCTTCGTGTTCATTTTAACACGGGTTGACATTATATGCGTCAACATCTTTTCAACATGAAAGGGACCAGACTCAATACTATACCCTTTATGATCCCATATAATAAACTGCTACATAATGTATTATTTAAACGAAGCAACATTGACACAGATTTCAAAATAAGGGAATACAGAATAAGAAGGAAAACTTACTAATTCAGTACAAGTAACTGACGTCGAGTTACAATTGAAACAATCGTCGTCGTATATGATGATAGAAACAGTGTCACCATAGTTAGTCTGATCAAATGACAGGGAAATGTCGTATCCCTCAGGTCTGTTGTCTGTTGACCGTCTCTTTCTGGAGTTTGGAAAATCACACGATATCAAGTTTTCATATGAGTAAACAGCTGATACAATTGCCTCGGTACCGCTCAATTGTTTGCCATTGTCGGTAACCTTTACAAAATAAATATTTTTCTTTTGAAGAAAAAATATTGATCATCATTAAATAGCACAGTTTGCACTTGATAAGTGCAACTGAAAGTTTAAATCGAGAGAACACTGTTTCTTGTCAGTTGTCAGTTTTAATCCACTATATGAATAAAGGCAACAGTAGTATACTGCTGTTCGAAAGTCATAAATCGATTGAGAGAAAACAAATCCGGGTTACAAACTAAAACTGAGGGAAAAACATCAAATATAAGAGGAAAACAACGAAACAACAGAAACACTAAAATGCAACAAAAAAACCAAACGACAATTAATGCAACACACTCAGAAACGAACTATAAGATAACAATTGCCATTTTCCTGACTTGGTACAGGACATTTTAAGAAAAAATGGTGGATTGAACCTAGTTTTGTGACTAGCCAAACCTCCAGCTTTATATATATAAGTGACCATTAAAAACAATATTTTGTAGGTTTTTTTGTTGTTCTTTATATTTGTTTCAACAACACTTTTCTTTTAGATGACCAGTATTTATTGTGGTTTTATTGTGAAATTTTCAATTCTGTAACACGACAACATTCACGACCAATTTAAGTCTTACTAGACAGCGGTGCTTGAAGTCTAATTGAAATGTTTAGGATGAAACACACTGTGAAAGCTTGGGTTCGTGTTTTTCAAACTGTTTTTGTACACTGATGCATTATGTTGATAGTTTTTATTAGTTTGTCAGTTCTTCTTCCAAAGAATTTTGAATGTCCAGTTAGTAGCTTCTGTCTCCTAGAACGGAGGAACTAACTCAGAGAAGAAGAAGACAACATAGAACACTGAAGATTAAAACATTTCTCAGTGGTTCTAGTTTACCTAGAGAAGAAAAAAACAATCTAATGATGAAAGACATTTTTCAAATTTGTTAAATTTCTTGTTTTTTTCATTTTGAGTGGTGCAAGTTTGATAAAATGATGCAAGTTGCAATAATTAGTGACAGTGTTTAAGTGGTACGAATTGGCCGTGGGACGAGTTGTCATCAATTCAAGAAAAACTAAATTATTCTCGCTTTCCGACAAAACGTAGACGGTAATGAACCTGCTACAGAACTTTGATTGGAGATTAATTAATTAATCTACGCTAATTAAAGCAATTACTATATGAAGAACATTACATACATTAACTATTTATTATTATATAATACTTCAGACGTTCGTCGGCTCGGAGACAAACTGGCTTAATCATGAATCACAAACTGGTTGAGTATTACGTTATGTGTGTCTCTCATCTTACTAACGAGATATTTTCACGGTCTTTGGATTTCAGAATGTTCGTATGATCTGTACATGGTCCATGCGAGATATCGATTTATGTCGTTCCGGTTAACTTTTGCAAGTATTTAATTCTCTGAATAAATATGAATAATGTAATATCAAGTTTTAAAAAATGTAAAACAATATTCATCAACAAATATATAAACGTATACAAAGTTTCTGTTAATGTTGTCGAAAGTTCACTTTTTATATCGTAATAGATACTTAAAGAGAAACATCTTAAAACGTTTTTGAATAACACTGTCTTGATCGATTACTATAAGGAATCATATATTAGTTAAAAAGTTAATTTTACGATGTGCAAGAAATCTACTTACTATAAAAGAGGGACGAAAGATACCAGAGGGACAGTCAAACTCATAGACCGAAAACAAACTGACAACGCCATGGCCAAAAATAAAAAGACAAACAGACAAATAATTGTACAGAGACACAACATAGAAAACTAAAGACTAAGCAACACGAACCCCACCAAAAACTGGGGGTGATCTCAGGTGCTCCGGAAGGGTAAGCAGATCCTGCTCCACATGTGGCACCCGTCGTGTTGCTTATGTTATTACAAATCCGGTAAATATTCTAATTCGGTAGGTCATATTCGTGAAAAGGGAAGGGTATTGTAGTTACGACATAAGGAACATATCCGATATCATCTGTGAAACGGTTATTCCATAACGGTCAACCAACTCGTGATGGCGTCCGTAAAATTTACGAAGGGATGATTTCAACTTCACCATTTGGAACTCTTGGTTTAATAGCTAAAATGTTCTAATTTACAATACATATTTGAAGCATGAAATATTCATATATTAGTTTAAAAATTAATATTACGATGTGCAAGAAAGCTACTTACGATAAAATGTTCTAATTTACAATACATATTTGAAGCATGAAATTCACCAAATATATTTGTCTTTTGACAGTTTCTTTGCTTGGTTCCACAAAGTCCTTCATCGGGAACAGATATTTCTTTTGGGGCGTCAGCCAGTGTCATAGAACAATCAGATCCAATGTAACCATTATTACAGACACATTCACCTAAAACATAGTGCTATATGTTTACATATTTAAAACTGTGATTTAACTCATCATAAAATTGAAGATGAAAATGGGGAATGTGTCAAAGAGACAACAACCCGACCAAATAGCACTCAAGAGCCGATCAGCTGGGCACAGCTTGATACGACCGCAGAGGTTGAACCCTGAACAGTTGGGGCAAGTATGGACTCATCAGAGACGCTGGAGACGAGTTAATCAATTAATACGCAAAGATATGCCGACTTCCATGTTTTTCATCGGGAAATCCAGAAGTGCATTAGCAGTGAAACGGTAAAAATAACATTCTCATCATTTTACTTAGATCGATAATTGCTTTTTTTAGACAAGTTAAAGAGGGCTTCAAAATACAAAGTAAAGACAAATGGAAGAACAAATAAAGATTACTAGTGATATCCTTTTCTCATTTTAAAGCAGTACTTTGAACAAATGTACGATATGGACCAAATAGTTCAATTTAAATATGCAACTTCAAGTATAAACCATATGAAACTGTATTGTTCATATATGATGTATGCTGAATTTTCCCTTACTTGAAAGCATTTGCGCAAAATGTTCCAAACATTAAACATCTTCCCCATAAGCCAAAACCGAAACCAAAGATAGTGGATCGAGTTTGAATTTAGTTTTGTTAATGTGTTATTTAATTTTTATAACATCAATCCGTATATTCATTTACATTTTTCTCAGGCTTGTATTAGCACAAGCATTACATATATAATATCATTCCATATAAAATATCATTCCATATAAAATCTATTTAAACAGTGACGATTATTATTTCAACCCTTTACTGACCACGTTTCAAGTTATGTGCAATTCAATATGTTAGTATAACTTTGTTTATCATGCACATTAATGTGTAGACGAAACAGTGCTGCAAACAGTTTTACAGTTAGTGCAAAATCGATGTTTGTTTTCTAAATTTTCGTTCTTCAAATTGGATTTCTACATTTACTCATCTGTTTAAGTCTTTTTGTTGGCGATTTTTGCGTTATCATTGCAGCGTCATAGACAGTAACTATCTTGAAGTGTATGACATAACAATGATGTGTAGCTGAATCTGGATATCCTGCATGACCTAATAGGACACTGATGGTCACCTTCGTTATTTGTTTTATTGGGGGGGGGCGGTGTCTTGTTAACCCGTTTGATTTTTTTAGTGTTTTGTTATTAATATGTATTCTTTTCTTTTTGTCCATGATTTATTCTCAGTTTATTTGTATTTTTTTTTATTCCATGTAAGAAACTTCGCCCTCTATTTTTAAAAAGAAAGCAATCCTGGAAAAGTTATCATTTGACAATACACATTTTACGCTTTTTTCAAAGTAATTAAATAAAACACAGGAAAATTCAACGTAAATATGTCTCTTTTCAACACTCACCCTTTTTATGTTTTCTTGCGTTCATCAGAAAAACCAAATTTACTTTATTGTCGTGCTAAAGATTCAATACATGAGATCTTCTCAATTCTCACTTGTTAGTCTAAGAATAGATTTGTTTCAAACAAAAATTGTCAGTATTCAACCTACTTTTATTACAGACACCATTGTTACTACATCTGTTAGGACACATGAGATCAAGAATTGTTTCCATAACAGCAACACCATTGTTTCCAGAGGAATTACTGAACAGAGATTCGTTTCGTGATATTTCAAATTTGCATGCATCTTCCATCAACCAGATCATGTATGGTATGTAATCTGAACTCCCTGAAATCTGTTTAAAATAAATCATTGATAGTTACCACTACTTCAAAGTAAAAAATGTATCACAGTTTTATCAACAAATGTATTTGAACATCACAACTTACTATTCACATGAAGCCGTTAAATTAAAAAAACAACATAATATACTTGTGTTTTAAAAATGTATTCGAGGCTGATCTTTGACTTTGAATATTCGTCACTTTTCTTTATACCATTACTAATCATACTATATTCAACACATCCTACATAAGTAAGTTATATTCGGGAAATTGTTTGAACATGATAAACAAAATTTTAAAATTTCTTAATTCTAACCTTGATATCTTCGATACATAGGCCTATGTATAAGGTCTTATCAATGTTAGCGTATTTCTGACAAAGTTCCAGAGCAGCCATTTCTGAAATACCTATTTCACATCTTTCCCTTGCAGAATCTTCGTTCCATCCATTCTTCCAATCAGGGTCCTTAAAAACAATATCATACGATAAGATGAGAACTTTCTTAAACAACATTCAACCTTAATTCTTCCATTTCTATGAAAAACGGTAACGTTTAAATTTACACATTCATAGCCAATAAACAAACAACATAAAATAAAAATAAAATCATTCTGTCTGTGGTATTATGGTCCACATGCGATCATTTCACTTGAAAAATAAACGTATTAAAGCTTTGAGTTAATACTAGATTTGATTAACTTTACTGCAAGGGCAAGGTTATCACTGGGACAATTTTTGTATAAATGTCAGAGAACAAAACATAATGTTTTCATTACCATGGTTGCATGTTTTCCAATTTACCTGTTATCCTTATACAGCTGTTCAAACACTAGGAGTTTTGTTCTTCAATATATGTTGTTTACTGACCTGTATTTGTTTTTTATGGTTGTATGGGTTAATGGAAGTGATAATAAATTTTTTTTTTTTTTAGATATTGCTATTTCTGACATCCACTTAAACCGACTGTTGATTTAGTATAGACACGTACAGAAATTTATAGGATCAAACATGTAGATACTCAACCGCATCTTCTCTTTATCTTGAATATTGGTATAAAACACTATAAGTCTAACGATAAAAATTAATCTAAAACTGCTACACTCATCAGCTCGTCAGGAAGCACAACAAAAATTGAACATAGAAAAAGACCGCAAAATACCGATCTTACACTATTCTTGAAGTTATTGAAAAATAGTTCAAAACCAATTTTAACAATAGATGAAATAGTTTTCCCAAACATAGCAAGCTTAAATTACTCGCAATCGGTTTATTAAGTCCACATAAATTACAAATCAGCTTAGGAACGCAAGTTTCTAAAATATTATAATATCTTAAAGCAAACAAGATTGAGGAAAAGTTGACTTGATTCAATCAATCTCTAAAAATGTATTTATACTCTTACAGATGGAATATAATTTGGGTCAAAAGTCTCATGGTATGTCAAAGACGTTTCATCAATCACATCATCACTATCCAATGCATTCCGTTTAACTATTTTTCGTTGATCATTCTCCATATTAGAAGTATCTCTACGCATTCTATGTGTGTGACATTCTTGGTATAACCTATTTGCAATGTTATTTTTCGCAGTTTCGCACTGCACCAATGGCTGAGTAAGATTACAGTGTATATCCGTAAATGTTGAAATATCATCGTTTTGGTCTGCTTCTGCTGCACAAAGACAGTATTCCTTTAGCTGTAAATCATTTGAGGGAAACATTGGAAAAGGAGTGAAAAGGTCTTCTTCACCATAAGCCGAATACCGACCAACCCTGCATTTAATTAAAAAATTCAATGACATCAATATACTATAATCGTTTTATTCTTTAGCTCACGAAACACATTAAAACGGTACGTTCTATCGTATTATTAATCACTGTAATTGGATTCATGCTATTTGTTGATATTGTTTTAAAATTTGGTAGTCAAAATGAAAATAGACTCAAAACAGTCTACAAAATATTGTACAGTGTACAAACGACTGAGCAACATGAGTTACATTAAAATCAGAGTCTGTTCGCAGGTGCCCCGGAAGGATAAGCGAGTGGTTTTCCACTAGAAGAACCCGTATTCCTGCCTTTGACAAGTACACATTCCATGATAAGTGGCATTCGATAATGTCATAATCGAGGAAAACAATAGGATTGTGGCTACAGCAACTAACAAAACCAAATCATGATGGCGTCTATAAATTTTCGAAGGGATGACACTTATCAATATGAACCCTTCCTTCAAAAGCTTCTAAAATATGTCGTATCAACTGAGGTGTATATACGTCATATAGAGGTAATACGCTTCATCATGAATCCATACCAATCATCACATATACCTATACAACACCTATTGCGACTATTGTGTCAAATACACAATCGTGTTGCAGGATCTCAATATTGACGACTTAACTTCAAAAATTCCTTATTGTAGCTATTTCCCAATGCATATATAATTTTGAAAGCCACGTTATTACTGGAGAACTGAGTGAATAAATCAGAGTTTGGACGTATCTATCCCATCGAACTTGAAATAAATTATACAACAGATATAAAAATAAAGTAAACCTCATATCTTCATTTGCATCTCGAAATTGACAATAAGGCTCGGTTGATTACAAAACTTTAAGAAAAAAACACCTTTTAAATTGTAAACTTTCTCGATATCGACACAGATTGACGACTTCAAACTGTAATCTATGAAAATTGTGATATTTTCTATTTTCAAATTGCCAACTTACTATTCCGAAGCAGTAACATACGATTTGTCCGTCGTGGGGTTTGTAAGGTTTCTGTCAAAGTCTGCATACAAGCCTATAGACAATTCCTTCTTTGTTGAACTTTTGAAATCCACAAAAATTTATAATAATGAATCCAATTTATCACATTTGACACATTACTCTAGTGCGTGTTCACACTATACGGTCTTCATTAGCAGGGGTATGTATGCTCTTCACACAAAACTGCTCCAACAGAGTTATAAAAAAGAAACAACTGAAGTCGACCCTGCATAAGCTTTACGGTCACCATCACGTAGTGGTTGACCGATATGATTGTGTCCTATTTCCAAATGTGACATTTGTTGTGAGTGTACTGGCATGGCGGAGGATAAATACATAGCAAGAGACGATTATCCTGTATGAGCACCCGGTCTCTCTACTTTTGCAGTTTCTGATTCCTTAAGTTGTTGTTTTTATCTGGATCTGTACGAGGAAGAGATTCATATTGTAACAGATAAGATATATTTTAGTATCCGCATATGATTCAAACCGCCCAAGAAAATGCAGTTTCTCAACTCTGACGCCCGCCTTTGTTTGCTGATAAAATAGATGTTAATGATTGGGAAAGAAATTCCATAGAGCATAATACTGGTAGGTAAAAACTGTTATTCCTTTAATTGGCATTTCGGTGACACGCGCACGATAATTTAAAATTACAAAGGTGTTTTACTTTACCTGTTGTTGACTTTTGACACATATATTGTACACTAGCAATTGACTGACGAGACAAATCTTAAAATAAAGAATCTTGAAACAGATATTTATCAAAATTATTGTTTTCTTAATTGAATGTATTTATACCTCCATGATCTAGCAAAATCATACACAGACGATGTAGCAAAACTGGAACTTCTTGGAATAAAGTCGTCTGATGTATCTTTTGTTTTACTAACAAAACCACATAGCCCTTCAGTTTGCTCAATATCTAATGTAGATGGTTTTATAGCAATTCCTGGTATCCATCCCCCAGAGACAGTAAAACTTATTTCTGTGCCGATTGGAAGCGTCACCTGTAGTAGGTTAAAACAACTGTTTAATTTTTAATATTATTTGGCATTTAATGACTAATATTTCTAACACATGGACAGCACGTGTCTACTTATAATTATTTAGGCACCAAGTTGCATTGTTAGCCATCAGTACTGCCATGTGTCCCGCCAGATCAAGAGTAAAAGAGTAACGCTAAATTGAGTCTTCTAAATATTTTTAAAAACTCAGCTTGTATTTACAGACAAGACTTTCTTAAATTAGTCAATCAGATCGAAATTGCCTCTGGTGGCCATGTTGGTTTTTTTTAAATCGAAACCAAATAAGTATTTTGTTTTGGAAAAATTACCGTGCATAAATTTTTCCTACCAAATTTATATCAAACAGGCCTTGTAGTTTCCAATCAAAATATGCAATTGTTCAGGCCTAGTAGTTTCCAATCAAAATATGCAATTGTTCTTCGGTAGAGTTCACTGAAAATTTTGGATTCTTTCATCGCTTAAAATTTTTAAGGTTTGTAAAGGGTCTCCAAATCATCAATCTTAAAACGATTCAAAATATTTCGTCTTCTAGTTATAGAAAAGACAAACTTTGCCAATCAGAATCAAAGGTATCATCGGGCGCCACTATTTTCGTTAAATCTAACATACCTGTTGAGTATTTGAAGATAATTTTTCGTATATACTTTGGTCAATTTTGATTAAAATTGACCATACGGTTCCAGAGGAAAAGATTCAAATATGTTTGTAAATGAACGGTGGTCAACGAACGACGGCCACGGACACTGACGCTGACAAACACCATACGACGGCAAAACATTATAAATGGTCTTTCTCGCAAGATGAGTTTATAATGACAAATATATATTTTCACAACTACAAAGTTCACAAAATTAGAAGATGCTCACGTAGAAATCAAGTATCATGGTTTTTAAAAGACGAAGAAAATAATGGTCAAAAGATAAAAAAAAACAATCACCGGTCCAGAAAATCCTTCACACAAAACTTAAAGACTCGGCATAAACCATACAAAGACCAACATTTTAAGATGAAATAACACGTAAAAGATAAAAAGACTAGGAAGTAAAAATCTAGTCTAAATGTTTGCATGTCAGGACAAACGCTCATGCCAAAAGATAAAATGAAATATAAAAGGCCCTGATCAATGTAATGAGAAGATTTAGGGAGAAAGCATCATAGCAAAGGACTTGATTCTTCGATACTGTTATTTTGATGTTTTAGTAGTTTGTATTTTAACAGCAAACTGATTATTAGACATAAACAATACAATGCTCCTTTGTTTATATGATGTTGTTTCCTTCTTCAGCTTTTCAACAAATCCAAACAAACCTTGTAACCTCGGTTTAATTTCTGTATGGTCATATGTTCATTGTTACATGCAGCATAGGAAATGTATGGATGATGTCTCCTGAGACTGTAGAACACAGTTGATATTATGTCACATGTTCTAACAACAAACAGGGAATCATGACTTCGTATAGCTATTCCGCAGTTACACGTTCCTCTCCACCAGCAGCGTGTTGACAATGTATGAACCTGAAGTATAATAACTAACAACTAGCTTTAATTAGATGATATGCATTGAGTTATTACGAAATAAAAAAATGAACGAATATAGTTTTCATTGAAAATTTAATAAAATAAGCTGTGATTTGCCTGTTTGTAACACGTGTTGCAAGTGGACCATACGTCCACTGAAAACCTCATATGCCAAATGGCATTTAGTTAACACTCTCATCAATAGATAATATATTAGTGATATGGGTATTTTTCCGAGTACATACATTTTGTATTAGATAAGATTCACCTACCGCATAAAGCAGAAACCAGTAAGTCTTCAGTGTCGTCATCAAAACAAAGACGTCTCCGTTTTGAGGTCAAAGATTCTTATACTGTCGTAACCTAACCTCTGGAGGAGGAATTGAAATTGTTTTTGTTGTTGTGCTTCCTAGCTGACGTTTAACAAATATTATTATCGCAAATAAACAACATTTATCTGAATAGTGATACATACCCAGTATGGATATCGCTTGTTCCTATATAGAACATGTTCTCCGCATCCATGATAGGTAAAATATTTACCATCAGCTGTCACATATCGTGGATCATTCCATGTACCGCAATACCGTCCTGTAACTTCCGAGTCTTTGTCCGAAACGATCACCTTAAACAAAAGCATATTTCGGACTTATTAGAAATATCTCCATCATAATTTTTTCAAAGTGATAAAGTGTTAGCGAAACTGTTTTCCTCGCAATTCAGTCGCGGTAATTTTTTTTTCACGAATAACATCCAAATACATTTCATGCATCAAATTACATTTTATCTAAGATATTAAATCTTTAGGTATATTAGATTTTATGTCCGTTAATCGTTAAAAGGTTGTCTCCAATCATAGACTTGGAGGTCTTGTAGACAAGAAATAATGTATAATCATTGATGATCATGACTGCAGATACACATCCAGTTCTTATTCTAAACATTTTTATTAGCAATGCATGATTCAAACTAATTCATGAGGTTCAAAGCTTAAAATAAAAAAAAAATATGTTTATTAAGAAATCAAATATAATAACAATGGTGACTACTTGGTGTTTCTGCGCTTATAATCTAATATTATTTTATTTACCTGTATTTCTGGTATATTGACTGTATCCCAAACTCCGGACAGATCGGTGGCACTTTTACTCTCTGTTATTAGCCGAATATAACTCTTCCTGTTGTCTGAATTGTAGTAATTGTCAATGTATCCTTTGACTGTCAAGTTCACAGGCAACATCCAGTTTGTAGTAGAAAATGATACCCCACAGTCTTGTGTTTCAAAAACTGTTGAACCTTTTCTAATGCTATTTACACATTTGTCTGATGGATTATCCTGATACTCTGGTTGTGCTATTTTCAAAGTTTCAACACAAAGAGATGTTATGATATCTGCTGACCCAAAGCATCCTATAGGAACAGATGATGTTAATCTGACTGATATTTCATCTCCTTCTGCCACTTCATACACAGTAAATTCAGGCTGAAAGAATATGTGCATGCTATCGGTCATTTTATTTATTTCTTATTCAAGTTAACGTTCATACTTTTAAGGATTATATCAAATCATATATTTGTCATATTTTTTTCACTTTTGATCCTGTATAAAGTCTATTTACAATTAAGTCTTTTAAAAAGTATGTTTTGTCACATTTTAGAACTGTATACCAAGTTCAGGAAAGCTAAAGACGTTAAGAGTGGAACGCTTAATTTATCGTTATGTATTTGAAACTAGCTGCAAAATTGTCGTTTTCAAATTAACCAAGTATTTGCTTTTGTCATAGTTGTTGTCTAAAGTTGTACTGCATTTTGAATTTTTAGTCAGATCTTATTAAACTATCACGAACGTCGGCAATGATTAAAGTGATTATAATGCTACAATGTGGAAAACACATTTTCACTGAAACTTTTAAAAATAACAAACATGTGAAAATAAACACATTGATAGGAGCTTAAAATAAAACCAATGTAGCTATTTATTAACAAAATACAAGTTTCAGAAAGGAAAAAAAGACTTTCCTGAAAAAAACTTAAACGCGGTTATAAAGATGCAAAAATTCGGACGGTGAGACTCGTATGCTTTTTTCTAAAAAAAAAAACCACTATGTTTTCGTTTTCGTTTAAAATAAATCGCATTTTGCGTTACAACATATCCCAAGATCAGAGTCGTTTATTATGCAGTTTTAAAATGTGAACCATAGACCTCCCTAGGTAATAACATAATATACCTTTACACCAGCTTCAAAATCTAAACTACCAAAAGTTGGCCCAGGGACAGAGTCAACATCTAACCTTACACGAAGACTGCATCTGACCTAGATAAATACATAAAACCCATTGTCAATGTTTATGTAAAGAGATACGTATCATCAAATTTTATTTCGTGTTTTACATAAATGTTTAATGTTCCTTTTGCAAAGAACGGTATATGTTTATTTTTACAAATGTTTTCAAGCTTATACACAGAGAATCTAATACTTATAAAGAAATAGTCCATGGCGTCAGTACCTTTTTGGAGTTGTTAAGACGAGCTGCATGTATTTTTTACGACGTAAAATTTTCACTTCGAGCAATAGCGAGGTATAACAATATATATAAAGAAACTAAAGTTTTTAACTCCCTCAGGCAAAGTTGACCTTAGATGGATTTGGCTATTTTTTTAGGTTTTTTTTATTTGTCATATAGCTCTTCAATTGTTTCGATTCTTGGCTTTCAAATATTCGGCTTTGGGCGTTCCTGATGAAGATAAATCCAGAAAAGCGCTTCGGACGCATGAAATTATTTAACGTGCTGTTTTCATTTTTTACAGCACTGGCCATGGGTCGATACTTCTGCTGGTGGACTATCAGTCCCCGAGGGTATCATCAGCTTAGTAGTCAGTACTTTGGTACCGACATGATTTATAACAAACCTTTCTTAAATTATCAGATTATAAATTTTGAAATTTTAAAGAAACTAAGGTTTCAACTCCCTCAGGCAAAGTTGACCTTAGATGGATTTGGCTAGTTTTAGTCATATAGCTCTTTAACTGTTTCGGTTCTTATACATTCTCGGATTTCAAGTATTCGGCTTTGAGCGTTCCTGATAAAGGTAAATCCAGAAAAGCGCTTTGGACGCATGAAATAATTTAACGTGTTGTTTTCATTTTTTAATATGGCAATTACGCATTTTCGGTGTTAAAAGTTTTTAATAACCGGTAGAAACAAACAGTGTATTGACTTCATTGCTGACAAAAGTGTATACAAGGGCAGAGTAAACAAGTATCTTCTTGATATACTGTTTAAGTTAAAACATCAACCATACTGAATAGAATAGAAAAACTGTGTGGCAAAAAAAAAACGTTTCTTGCAATGAATATGAATAAAGGGTGATTTCGTCAATAAGGCAGCAACAATATGACGAAGAATAACCAAACGTTATCTTTACGGCAACATATTGCCTTCATGAGTCTATACAATATATGTCAGGATCTAAATCGTTCCGAGTCTTAAATGTTGTTAGTAAATTAAAAAGAAACCATCCAAGATCTGCAATAAACACAGTTTCTGAAAATAACAAAAAACAATTGATCAAATAATCGAAAGGACTATAAAGTAAAAACAAACCCGGAACTAGACCTTTGCATGAGGCAGATACATTACTGAATTGAAAATGATTTCGAAATTATATAACAGTGAATCTAAATTTTAAAAAATATTCGTATTTTTATGCCAGTACAGAAGAACAGGCTCCTTTCATAAACCATTGAAACCTCAAAGTAATAAAATACCTTCGCACTTACCATCATGTTCATTTTGTAGTCATTGATCCAGTCTTTTGGACGGAGCAACGTATCATTTATGCTACTGTAGGAAATTCTTTTGTGGACAATAATTGATTGATTATTAATTAACCAATAGATGTCGTACGCGTAAGATTTTTCGAAAATTGCGTCAAATGCACATCTAAAAACAGGTTCTAGGCTTGGTCCGAATGACGTTTGATGTATTGTTACTTCGGTAAGTTCAGCTCGAACAACTGGAGAAAATATTTCTTTAGGGACATCACCTGTTTACAAAATCGAACACACATTTTAAATAGTCATTTCACTACTTTACAATACAAAATTTAAAAAAAACCCAGTATCTCAGGTTATGATAATGCGTATTGTGTCGAGATCTAATTTTTTTTTTCGGAATAAAACCGAAAGAAACATTTCATGCATTTACTTAATGAATTGCTTTTCCTTTGAACAGTATTATGAAACCTCATCACGGACATTATCAAAATTATGTAATAATATAATGATCACTAGACCTTTTTCATATTACCGACTTTTGACTCCGGAGTTTATATTTTTTCGACAGGTTACCTACTCTGTGGTAAGACATCCTGGTACTCGGTCAAGTATGAGCAACGTAAAAAAGTAAAATCAAGCTTTTAATCGATACAATTTATGGGGAAAATTAACTGCTTTATATTTTCTAAACACGATAAAATCATCAGAAAACAGAAAACTTTCCCCTCAAATTGCACGGATTATTTGTTTGATTTTTCTTCTTTAGGTTGCTCTTACTTGACCGAGTACCAGGATGTCAAACTACAGAAAAGGTAACCTGTCGAAAAATTATATAATCCGGAGTAAAAAGTCAGTAATATGAAAATAGTCTATTGGAGCATAGGACGCTGTTAATTATTAAGTAAATCTGTATTCTAAGAATATGAATAATTGTGAATTATCTTACTTTTCAAGGGCGTCATTGTGGGCTAACATTGATACCATACACTCTCAAATTGGCTATCTGTGTTGTTTTAAACACCTCTTTTGAATATTTATAAGTTAAACAGAAAACTTACTTGTACACCCAGGAGTAAATCCATTTTCGGAATATTGGCCATCTGGGCATTTTACTTCTTTCCCTATGAATGCATAAATAGTGTTTAAAAGGATGATGTATGAGAATCCGTTTTTCTTTTCAGGTTCATACATGCAACCTGTCACCGAATACAATTCATATTCTGAATTTTGACTCTGAACCACTGTAGCAGTATTGTCTGACCTTACAAGAGAAATGGACGGAGCTTATCGCCTGTTTGTCTTATTCATATTTCTTAATAAGAGTGTTTGATTTTATTATTTCATAGAATATTGTACGTCTTTTTTTTCATTTATTTTTTCTTTGTATTTTCTGTCCTTTTTCGATTATTTTTTGTGTTGCCTAGAACACACCCCTTGTTGTCTACCTATTTCTAAAGTGAATGTTGAATATATTTACCAATTAAAAATAATAATGTCGGTTATTGTAAGTTTTTAAGACCGAATTCTAACAAATAAATCATAAGCATACCCTGTGTCTGTAACGTAACTACCTTAAGGTTAGACATATTACATAAAAATGGATAACAGGACTTGCCATAAATACCTTACAGTACTACATAAGATATCAACCACAAACACCCGACTTCTCCAAATAAGCAGATACAAAGACAAATAAGTCAACAAATAATTCATTGTCCAGATAACCAGATACATAGTACAAACTTAAAATACGGCGATATAAAACCAGTTTTACGTGCGCACAAACCTCCCTTTTTCCTATCTAAATCCTATGTAGTTATAGTCAAGCACATCATTAAAAAACTTACACATCTCGGCTGTCAACAGGATGACCGCATTCTTGAACAAAGAAATAAGAAACAGCACAATTATTGGAACATAGGGCGAAAAAAATCCCTACGAAAGGATGCTAGCTTATGCGTATACAGCTGTCTATTAGATACTGCCGCTACAGGGGGGAAACAGAAAAAGCATTCCTGATTTTTCATTATATTTTGAAATTGTCAGTATTTGTGAAAGGCCAGTAGATATCTAAAATCTGACACAATTATATCATCGTGTATTTCTTACCAAAACAATATCCAGAGCTTGATATTTGACTTTCCACTAAATTGTATATTATAAAATTTCCATGACAGTGTTTGATGTCAATGGTCCAACTCGGCTGACATTCCGATGAAATTGTTTGAACACACACAGACTGCGATAATTCTGTAGTATTTGCTGTCGGGAGATCACCTGCGAAATTAATCGATATCTGATCATGATCAGTAAATATGTTCTTTTGTAGTCTCAACAACATCTGATTTGTGTGATTTTATGATTCTTTTAATCGTATCATCATAAACATTCCTTCAATAACCTAAATGTACAACTATATGCGCTTCTTACCCGCGAAAATTATAAAAGAGATATAACTTAAATTTATTGACACTTGGCCAATACCACTGCTGGTGAACTGTCCGCGACATTATCATCAGCACGGTAGTGAGTGTTTCGGTACTGTTTTAGAACCTACTATTGTTAAATATCCCGTTGACAAATTAAGAAAATAAGATTTCAACTTCCTAAGGCAAAGTTGATCTTACTTGAATTTAGTTCATTCATTTTAGGTCCCGTTTGGTTATATAACTCCTACTGTTTCTATGTATTTATACTTTGCTTTCAAATTTTTTGGTGTGGGCGTACTTGGGGATGGTAAATTAAAGAAATGAACTTCGGAAGCACGAAATTTATAAAAATACAGGCTTGGTTAACCGATCACCGAGTCATCATATGCATATCCTCTGGCAAAATGTTTTTTATCAGAATGTATTTTCTATATTCACTGAAACAGCATTTTTATTATAAAAAAATAAAAGATGTTTTGAAGACTGCAGCTCATTTTTTTTCCATTGATGTGAACAGCCTTAAACGTTGTTTAAACTGAATAATATTTATTATCAGGACTGTGTTCATTTGAATATTTTTTTAATTTTAGTTTACATTTTCGACTGTTGGTTATTACTATTTTTCTTGCTTAAACAAAATTATTAAAGTATAAAATTAAAGAACAAACCATTAAGCCATATTGGGAATAAAGTACCACAAGACATTAATCCTGGTGCCTCTGTTGGTATTTCGGTTCCACCTTCATTTACTATTTTATACCACCCTGGTTCTAATCTGTCATCGCTGATAGGTACATCACTGCCGCTGATTTTGTAACCTGTTGCTCGTTTACCTTCAGCCATAATTTTATAATTGTCGCATGGATCTAAAGATTGAATGAACATTACAATTTGATAGAAAGCACAGAGGTTAAGTCATATAAAGGCGAACATGTTTCCTTGGCAAGGTGGTTGTATGTGGCCTCTAGGTATCTATATTTACCTGTTCCCCTAATTAGTTGTTTTTTATAATTGTCTTATATTAACCGGAAGCTTTGTTTTAAACATCATCTTTATAGGAATATGTGCAGGTGATGCGCTTTTATTAAGACTGGGTCGGAAAAAAAACATGTCAGTTGGTAGATCAATTTATGAATATTTCCTCCTCTGGTGCTAGAAAGCAAACTCTTTCCAAACTTTCTTATTATAATGATAGACAGATTATAAACAAAATTTCATTATTTGTGCAAATAAAACGACATGCATGGTCGAAATGGTACCAGATAAATCACTTTTCAACCTTCTACTTTTTGTACCAATATACCGTATTCAGTAGCAATAATGTATGACTTGTATATGTTCATATTAGAGGTCTGTGTAGTAATTAGCAATTCCAAAATGGATATACGATTCTAAGGTCAACATCAGTAAAGCTAATATTGCCTTTGTTTTATTCTTTCCAAAAATGAGAATTCTTGTCTTAGGTTAAGAAAAACCTTCTTTGTGAAGAACCACAATGATTTAAACAAAATCACCATGTATGATGTCATTAAAATGCTGGGACCTTTTATCGACAATACATCTGTTGTGTTTGGTGGATTGATATTTGAGCAATCGGTATTCTAATGGGTACTAATTGTGCACACCTACTGTTCGTCTTATTTGTGTACTCGTATGAAGCAAGATTCATAAAAAAAACCTTCTCATAGACAAGAGAAAAATATCTTGCACAGTTCTTTAAGTTCGCTTTCAGATATATCCATGATATATTGTCCTTCAATAACCCACATTTCAGTGAGTACTTGCATCTCAGATATCTCAGTGAACTTGATATGATTGATAATTTCTAAACTATAAGGTTTGTTTCATATCTTGATCTTTTCTTTGATATTGACACATATCGACGACTTCAAACTAGAATCTATGACAAACGTGATGATTTCAATTTCGAATTGTCAACTTCCAGTTTCTCAGCAATAACATGACATCTGCTCTAATTTATGGCGTTAACCTAGATCAATTGATAGCTAAAGGTCACGCATGTTCATACTATACGGACTTCCTTATCAGTGGTGAGCTTCTTACACAAAACTACGGCAATAGAGTTGTGAGGAAAAAGAATTCGACACAACATGTGTTTTCGGCCTAAATCAAGAATTTGACTGGTACGAAATGTCTGTGTCTCAACTTACTAGCGACATCTTTGGTCAGTCTTCATGCGATTCCCTAAGTTTGTGTTTGTAACCATGATTTTTTTTTTTAAAAGATTTATGAGATTTGAATATTGGTAATATACTTTTATCTTAATTTGAACTAATAGAATTGGTCACTCAACCCTCCTTCTATCGCGATTAGTGAAATTATAAAATCATCTCTACATTACTTTCCTAAAAATAATTTTACGTCTTTTTTCAACAACAAAAAAGAGGCGCCATTCACTCATTTTTCTACATTTTACACGTGTTCTCTTTTAAAATGAACAAAAAAAGTTTAACATAAAATGTATGTGTGGTACCTACCATTTTGACCACCTGGTACTGTCAAATGTATGGTTAACGCACTGTTTAATTCCAGTTGCGTAGTGATTAGTAAAATCACTAGCAGCATCATAAATATTGCTGTTCCGATATTTTCTCTTTGAAGTTGTAAAGAGTTTGCGATTTTAGAATATATAAGGAGAAAAAGGACCCCTCAAAATCTGTTGTCGGCACTTGAAAGATACGAACCAATTGCCAGAAACTTCCTAGTAGAGGAATGTAATAATAATATCGTATTTTAAATGTACAGGAATAATTATGAAAATGAACTTGTATTGTTATATGACAAGCTAATTATGTTAACAGTATGGCAAAACATGTTTTTAAAATCCATAAACTCGAGTATCTGTTAAATTAGGAATAACCCGGTAAGCATTTAAAAAGTATATTTCTTATTTGTTTAAAAATATAAGAAAGGAAACTAGAGGCTCTAAAGAGCCTGTGTCGCTCACCTTGGTCTATATGCATATTCAACAAAAGACACTCTCCAACATTGTAGACGAGAATAGAATTAATGACAAAAATTTTTGTTTTTTTTTTATCTTATATTGCTGATCATTGAAGTCTGTTAAGTTTTTCTCTATCTTATTTAGCTTTTGCTCCAAACACAAAAGAGAGGGTAAAAAATAATTCCTAATTTAAGGGCAATAACTCCTATAAAGAGTAACAGTCTACTTATTATATCGGCAAATTTAGACTTGTTAGTAGGTCTTGTCTTGCTTTTCATTTTTGATTATTTAAGTTTCTATCTATCTATTATAATTTTTATCATATAAGGCAAAACACAAAAAAATGGTAAAAAACGTCATTAAAGGGTAATAACTCCAATAAGGAGTCATCGGACAATTTCCGCCAATTGCCTTAATTGTAGATCTTGTCTTGCTGATCATTTTTGTTTATTTAAGTTTCTTTCTAATTATGATAAGTTTTTAGATACAAGACAAAAACGCAAAAAAAAATTGTACAAATCGTAATCAAAGGGCAATAACTCTAATAAGGAGTCAACTGACGATTTCAAACATAATCTTATTTGTGGAACCTGTCCTTCTGATCATTTTTGCAATTTAAAGTTTCTCTCTATCTATTATAATTTTCAAGATAATAGGCAAAAATGGAAATAAAGTGGTTAAATTTGTCATTTAAGGGCAATAACTCCTACAGGAAATCTTCTGACAGTTATGACGTATATGGACTATTGGTAGAGCTCAGCATTTTGAACAATTTTACACTTTTCAGATTTCCTCTTTTATAACTCTTATCAGAATAATAGACAAAACTTGCATTATACCCCATATGTTCTATTTTTAGCCACTTCGTCCATCTTTGTTGGCAGGCGGGGTTATCGGACATATTTTTTAAGCTAAATACCCTAATAATGATTGTGGCCAAGTTTGATTCTATTTGGCCCAGTAGTTTCAGAGGAGAAGATTTTTGTAAAAGATTACAAAAATTTACGAAAAATTGTTAAAAGTTGACTATAAAGGGCAATAACTTTTGTCATGTAACTTATTTGTAGATCTTACTTTGCTGAACATTATTGCTGTTTACAGTTTATCTCTATCTATAATAATATTCAAGATAATCACCAAAAACTGCAAAAATTCCTTAAAATTACCAATTCAGGGACAGCAACCCAACAACGGATTGTCTGATTTGTCTGAAAATTTCAGGGCAGATAGATCTTGACCTGATGAACAATTTTACTTCTATGTCAGATTTGCTCTAAATGCTTTGGTTTCATAGATATAAGCCAAAATGTACATTTTACCCCTATGTTCTATTTTTAGCCATGGCGGCCATCTTGGTTGGTGGGCCGGATCATCGGACACATTTTTTTAAACTAGATACCCCAATGATGATTGTGGCCAAGTTTGGTGAAGTATGGCCAAGAAGTTTCAGAGGAGATGATTTTTGTAAAAGTTAACGACGGACGACGGACGACGGACGCCAAGTGATGAGAAAAGCTCACTTGGCCCTTTTGGGCCAGGTGATCTAAAAAAGGTTATTCAAATTTGTGGATTGCATATCATATTGAATTACCAAATACATATATTCAAATCTATACTACACGCACAGATAATCATTATTATGGATCTATATACTTTTGTGTAATGGTTATACAATTCTGTTCATTGGGTTTTTTTTTTCTTGACACAATATTTATGTTTCTCTTCGTAAGATCTTAACAAATAATATGACTAGTTTGCACAACTGTAGACTTGACAGTACCAACCTCTGTAAAAATACGTTTTATCAATACTGTAAACTACATTTTGCTAAAGTATATTTGAAATAATATTTTTGGCTATATTCCATACTAGATTGTATTATAAACGTCAAACGATCTATCATCGATCTTATTGTTTATGTATAAGATAAATTTTACTGTTTCAGACCTTTTAGATATATTTACCTGTTGAATCAGACTGAGTATCATTTTTCTCCTGGAGCGATAAAAAAGTATTATGTTTAAACTATCTAAGTGGTGCAGCATATGGGTTATTCTTAAGGTCCGGAAGAAATGATAAAATAGGCTTGCCGGTATAATTAACCGGAAAATGCCAGAATACTCAAAAATATTTAATAATAGCCTTGCAATGAACTACTTTTCCAATTTATTTAATAATGAGAAAAATGCATCATCGATAAAACATACACCGGTTTTTGTTTTGTTACAAATCTTCTTTCACTAAATAAATTCCCAGATAGCTTTTCGCATGGTTTGTGATGCATGCAAAGCAGAAGACGCGCACCCTGTCAAAATACTTGGTCTAGCTCCTTTTAGAGTTCATGCAATAGACTATTTTCATATAACCGACTTTTGACTCCAGATTATATAATTTGTCGACTGGTTACCTTGGACATCATGGTCCTCGGTCAAGTAAGAGCAACCAAAATAAGTAAAATCAAACATATAATCGGTGTAATTTGAGGGGAAAGTTTACTGTTTTCCGATGATTTTGTAGTGAAAAAAAAATATTAACCAGGTAATATTCCCCCAAAATTGTACCGATTGAAAGCTTGGTTTTACTTCTTTAGCTTGCTCTTACCTGACTTGGTACCATGATGTCCAAGGTAACCAGTCGACAAATTATATAATCCGGAGTCAAAAGTTGGTAATATGAAAAAAGTCTATTCTGCTCCGTTTTTGTTTGTTACATTGATTTGTCCCTTTCTAATCGAGATTTGAACATCGGTAAACTACTATCGATTTACTATATACCAAAAGATTAACAAAACAAGACTATAATACTTTCAAACCAATACACTAGTGGTAAAATTCTCATAGAGAACTTACCGTAAGCTTTGATCCTGTTATAAATGTAATAGTTGTTGATCCAGCAAATTCATTATGGATTCGTTCTTCTGTTCGACCGGTTATGACAGTAAGAAACGAAACGTTAGGGTTACTGTGACTTAATTTGTGTTGGTCCTTAGAGGCTTTTACTATTGCTAATTTCAAATCGCTGTTTCCATTTATATTTTGCCAACTGGTGACTAATAGGTTGTCATCAAGGAAAAGGCCACCGTTTTCGTCAGCTTTTATAACAATAGTCATAAAGCTCGTGTAGGCATATAGATGATAATATTTGTTTAAAGTTGTTGGAAAATATGTTGCGCTGTCAAAACTAGTGATAGGTGGAAGGAGTACCATAGATGCATCTCCGATAAAAGAGCTACACATATCTGTGTAAAATACAAGAGCTGTTGGCTTTGTAGTGTGTATATATAAGTTGTTATTTGCTGTAAACTCATAAAAATTCCCAGCTTTGTTTAGTGTTACCTGTTGAATACCTGCTATTTCAATTTGTGTATTAAGTTCGCAAGCGATAATTCTATATATATTTTCTGTTGTACACTGAGGTTTTCCAACTGTTACAAAGTCTGTTCCCCAGTACATAGTTGGTATCATTTGCTCATACATTATATCAATAGTATATCGTTCTTCGTGTGCACCTCCGCTAAACACTGCAATCGGTTTATCGGCAGAAATATGGGTTCCTGTGTAATCCTCTTGTGTAAATGCACTGAATGTGTCAAACTTATTCATTATTAACGAAAGAGAAGAACCATTTGAGTACAATACTCCTCTGAAGTTTATCGTTGCTTGGCTATCCGATGCTATTTGTATATTTATTGCCGTGTTGTTTTGTGTTGCAGTTATCAGAAACGACGATTCTCCACTCCAAGACGCAATATAGTAGTCTTTTCCCAAAGTATCTATAGGGTAGACTAAAAATGCATCTGAAATTGTTGTCGTGTATAACCCTGCCAGCGATAAATAATCTCTACTCACTACCAATGTTACACCATACACAGCTATTGCATTATCCGATGTAATAAGAAAATATTTCTGTTGCAATTCGGTACCCTGATGACCAATATTATTTTCAACAGTTATCATTTCTGTTCTACCCGCAGCGACGGTTATTTGTTTGTTATAATTTATCGCAGGGGCGGTAACTGCAACATTCGTAATTTGATCAGCCACCATTATAATCCTGAAGAATTGATCCCGTCGTCCTGAATCTATAAAACTTACCAAGAAAGATGTTCCCTTATTTGAACCTTCAAAAGAAAAGAGTTTCCTGGACTAATTTGTTCTCTTATCTGCATGCAATGGTTTATGAATCCACTGATTTTTTTAAAATGTGTTTAATAATGTGCTACCTGTACTAGTATACTGTTATTTGTGTTTTATCTCAAATTGATGTGAAAAAAAGAATTGGTATTTTATGATTCGGTGTTTTCTTCAAGTTATCTTGAAAAGGAATTTTCACTCAAAAAAGTAAAATAACAAAAAAACCGAACTCCTAAGGAAATCGAAAATGGAAAGTTCTTATAAAATGGCAAAATCAATAGCTAAAATACTTCTAACGAATGGAAAACAACTGTCATATTCCTGACTTGGTACGGGCATTTCCTTATGTAGAAAATGGTGGATTAAACCTGGTTTTATAGCTAGCTAAACCTCTCCCTTGTATGACAATCGCATTGAATTCCATTATATTGCCAACTATGTATGAGCAAAACAAACAGACATAATAGGTAAAAATGTCTAAAATTGGGGTACAGCAATTTCTTTCTTGAATTATATCTATTCTCTTCTCTTTTTTTCTTTTTTGTATTGGACAAAACATTATAACTTAATCCATGTAATGTATATTTGAAGCTGATGTTATCATACTAAATACTAAATGTTTGTTGAATCTTGGGCATTTTATCGGAGTTTCAAGTAAAACATACCCCTTTACAAAAAAAGGCATTCTCTTTATCTTGGCCATGTCTTTTGCATGGTCATTTGTAATGAAGGTCAGTAGTGATCAATATCTTTGTCAATATTTCATTTTTTGAATTTCCCCCTCAAAATTAAAGATATATCTACATACGAAATGTATATTTCTAACCTAGCATAATCGTTCTTGCTATATTCATACATTAAAAAAGTATGCTTCTGTAGTTGATACTTTGTGTCTTACTCTTTTTTAAATTTGTTAGTTGTTATTTGCATTTATGTGTTTGTGTTTATTTAATGAGTTGCGTCTTTTTCAACTGATCTTTTTAGTTTGTTCTAATAATGTGTTTTTACTCTACTGTCCCAGGTTAGGGTGATCGAGTGTTGATCGCTCGCACACATGTTTAACTCCGTCACATTTTATGTGTGCCTGTCTCAAATCCGGAGCCTGTAATCAATGGTTGTCGTTGGCTGGTGTATATCATATTTGAATTTCGTTAATTGTTTTGTACAAAAATAAGGCCGTTAGTTTTCTAGTTTGAATTATTTTACATTTTGTCATATCGAGTCCTTTCATAGCTTACTATTTGGCAAAGGGTTTTCGCTCATTGCTGACCTCTTCTTTACGTCGTATTCGTCTCTGGTGGATATATGTCTCATTGGCAATCATACAACATCATATCTTTGTATACTGTCAGGTCCCAACATAAAGTAAAATAACGATTATTTCTAACAGGATGTGCTTATTGATTTTTGTATTTTTTGGTGTGTAAAATAATTTTTTTTTTTTTTTTTTTGTGTTTTTTTTTAACTTCCGATTTTTATTACACCTTGTCGGTTATTTTTCTGATGCGTGCTTGTGACAAAACCATTTTTGCCGCTGTGATTAGGGAACCGCTTAACCTGTTTAACAATGTAAGTTTCAACTCTTACGTAATGTCGTCTTAGTGACAATCATACTGCTTGAACTGGCACAGTTAACTTGGGATGAGGGAATATTAAACATCAGTGGTACTTTTCAACCATTCTTACAAATATATTAGACGTCAATCTGAGAACCACAAAACAAAACTTCGATTAAATGGCCATAGAATCGGTCGTCTATTATGGTGTCAAATTGGGTTTTGATAAGACAGATACCGGGCGTCAAACATACATCTTGTATTATAATACCCTATGTTAGCTGTGTTCCATATTTGACCGAAAATACAAAAAAAAAGTACCAAGGTATCCTTCCACAGTTATGTGCAAACAGTCAAATATTAAAATTATGTTTTACATCACAATTCATTTTGGTGTCGTTGACGCGAAACGACGGAATTGTAGGGAAGAAAACATTAGATTGTGCTTAGTTATTATCAGGATAAAACTAATGTACAAACAATTATAATGTAATTATACAATTATTACGAAAAGGTGCCTTGCTTTACTGTCTGCTTTAAAGGTCGGAATTTGGTTTTATAATACTATGTTATATACTCAGTTACTTAAGTTTGTAATTTTGTGGTTTGAAAATACTTTCAACTTTAGGAACTGTAAAGTTTGATACCAGAGTCGTGTACCACTTTGATCCAAAATTAGCAATTCGTGTAAAGGAGTTACAAATGAACTAAGTCTTGCGTACGCATTAATTTGTCCCGACAAAGTTGTGCAATGAATGTGATAGATTCGTGCACCTTAATAAAAAGCAATGTCTCCGCACAAATGAAACGACGGTTCTAGAGAACAATGTAGCACATAAGTTGTTCGTTGGTACACTTTTTAGGCAAGATAATGAAGAAGTTCATAATATTCATCAAGGAAAAATAGTCACAAAAGTAACAAGTAAATCAGTTTAATGTGTTAAGCTTTATTCTGGTTATTTCATTTAATTGTGTGTCTTTGCTCAGTATTTATATAGAGAACATATATCTAAATTTCATATTCATTTTCTATTCAAATCTTATATACAATATTTCTCTATCTTTGGTTTTCTTTTATTTTTATTTTATCACGTCACTTACCAGTTTGAGTAGCAATAACATCCAACTGAATAAAACATATCAAAATAACTAAATTCATTTTCAAATCTGTCAGTTTTGATGAAGTATTTGCAATTTTTGAACTCTCCGCTAAGTTATAAACTTTACATTGTTAAACATTTTGTATGTCAGAAGACAAAAGATCTTTAGTCTACTATCGGTCAAATTAGCCTTAAAGAACAAATGACGTACTTGTTGAATCATTAAAAAAAAAATTTAAACAATACCGAAACTTGAAGGAAGTGATATATATATTGTCCTGTAATATAATTATGATAATAATGTATATTTTAAATTTTTCACATGAAGGGGGGTCAATTAAGTTTAATGAGTTTTTTTCATAGTTATTACTTGCATGATTTGTATTACAGTTATCGAATGTCTGGGGTACAAATGACCAATAAAATAATCCTTTTGTTTCAGCCACACTTTTCCTATTTTCTTGTGTATGACATCACCTAGTGCTACATGTCATTAGATGTATACTTGTCTTGGGCAATACCTCTGCTCTCCTGAACAGCCAGTGGGGGATTAAATATGTACAGGGGGCCCGGGGCCCCACATATGGAACATCATATATGATAATTGCAATCATCACTCTAAAGGTTGGCTTGCCATGGGGACCTTCTTTTTCAAAATCCTGGATTCGCACCTGACACCCAATACATTACATCGGTATAGAGTAAACCTCTGTAGCATCTGATGTGTACTTTGATTTTAATGGGATTCATGTTGTATGTTCTTCTTTGACTTAATTATGGTGTAAGTTTGTCCCCTTGGTATTGTTTTTTTTGGAAAAACTTTTTGACATTTATTTTTTTAAACGAGTTTTGTTTGCATACCTTTAAAACAGAAGGTCATTAAAAAGAATAATCCTAGTTTCATTATTAAAGTTGACACTATTACACGTATGTACTTTTCTATACTTCAAAGCTCTGGCAGAATAATGCCATTTCTTACAGCAATGTCGTTATTTCCAATTAATTTCATCTAGCCTTCGACCGTTTTAACTCGTCCTTTTTCAATACAAACTCACACTCACTCATTAATAAGGACCAGCCTTATTTTCATTAAATGCATTAGAAAGAGTGTTTCCATTGTCCTTCCGTCATAGATATGATTTATTGATTGAGTGTTGGTTGACCGGGATATGAAGGGCGTTAAACCTAGAATGCTACTGAAAAAATGAGGGAAATTTCGCTTTAACAGGACAACTATGAACACCTCAAAGCGTTGTTACAAGAGTTTTGTGACATGGCATACCACTCCCCCTACACGAGGCATTGTAATTGCAAATTTATACATCCCCCACAGCCAAATGAACCTACTACTTTGGCAAGGCTTTTACTGCAGGTCGAAAGAAAACCAAGGGATGCTCATTTATCTCTTATCAATATATGAATAAAAAGAGAAGAGCTATATGGCTATGCATTAATAATACAATAACACTAAAAGACAAGGAAACTAGTAGATATATCTTGGTGACTGAAACGATCTTATAGAGAACATACAAAAACGTCCCCTCTGAATTCACTTCACATATGGATATCAATTTTAGAAAATTTAACCTTTAATAATGATGATTTGTATCTGGCGTTTCCGTGAAACCAATAATCTTTGATTTCATAGATTGATTAAACAGTGTTGTAAATCACACTTTTGATTATTTTAACGTCTATGTTTGTAGGTAACTTTTACTTCCTTCATAAATAACAGTTTTTATTTCATTTCAAATATTGCAAACGTATTTGTTAAATGACATAAAAAAAAATAATATTTCTCAAACAATTTGTAATCTTTAGTGCGTGTTGTTTCGTTATTTCCAATGCATGGTTTTAGAAATTTTGTTTTACATAATTGAAGTATAATGGTGGAAATAGTGGATATCTTGGTGATATGAACGAAAAACTAATGCTACTTCCAGGAGCAATTTATCGTCGATGTTGATTACCCCAAACATTTATTGGGGCAAAGAGTTATGGTCATCCCTGTTTTTCTCAAATTGGCAGTGTAACCCTAAATTATAGTGTGGCGTCCGTTTGACTGTGTGTGATGTTCGATCCGATTCCCCTATTCAACACAACATGCTTTTAAGAACTTTTGTGCTGCATGTTTATATACTGATATGAACTCTTGCTTTATATGTTT